AACCTTTTTGGTGCCATGGACACCTTGGGGTATAATATTTGTTGCCTACGTTGCACAATGGAAGGAAATGCTCAATTTCAGTTAGAGGATAGTGAAGATAAAGATGAGATCTTTCCCCCATCCACATTCATGGTACCTCTATATGGACCCCAGGTTAAGAATCCCTGATGTACAGTGATGATCAAGGGCTCCCACTGTCTGAAAAAGCAAAAACATGAGTTCCTGGCAGTGGGCTATTAAATTGTTTTTCCAGCCTAGTTTCCAAGGAGTCCATAGCATTTCGTAGAGACAACCATCTCTGCTGACCAAACAGTTATAGCCCAAAAGGAAGGGGGAAAATAGAATGTGTATCATAGGGACTGAAAACCAACGCAATAAGGAAGACAATTAATTTCATGATTTATTTACAAAGTAAAGAGCAGCTACTGGATAAATAGTTGCATTTGGAAGTCTGCCTCAGACTTATCAGACTTAGTAGCTGGGTGGCCCTGGGCAAATCACTTACATCTCCTTTCCTCAGTTTCCTCATCTGTTTACTGGGGATAGTAATAGCACCTACCTCCCAGGGTTGTTGACAGGATAAAATGAGATATTTGTAAAGCGCTTTGCAAACTTGAAAGTGCTACATAAATGCTACCTGCAGTTATTCATACAGTACTTTTAAATTTTCAAGATCTTTAAAACACATTCAGTCTAGATGCAAAGAAGCCTGAAGTGAGATATAAGAAACACTAGGTTCATTTGCTCCTGAGCAAGTCTCAATCCACTTCAACTTAATTCAGTTCAACAAAAGTTACAGGCCTACTACATTCAAGGCAGTGGTCTCCATTATCTTATTTGGACTCCCAGCTCCCAGTTTCTTCCCTCCCCAATCCATCCTTTAAATAGCTTCCAAATTATTCTTCCTAAAGTATAGTTTGATCATGTGACCTCCCTGTTCAAAAAACTTCAGTGGCTCTACTATTTTTTATCATTATTATATAGCATATATAATTAGGTTTATTATTTATATTGTTGTAACATTTATTATTTTACATTACCTTATATTTTGTAGGGTAAAACCCCAAATCCTCTGACTGGCATTAAAACCCTTTGCAATCTAGCTCTGTCCTGCTCTTCTAGGCTGGTTTCACATGAATCCTTTTCACTTACTCTACATCCCAGTCAAACTGGCTTATTAAGCTGGTCCCTAAACATCTCCCACCTCCGTACCTTCACCTAGACTGTCTCCTTTTGGCTGGAATGCATTCTCTCTACCTGTGCATCTTAGGATCCTTGGCTCTCTTCATAGTGCGGATCATGGGTCTCCAGCTTCTCACTGTCCTCACCCTTCTTAAATAACCATATGCATATGCACACATATGTAATGTATTTAATGCATGTGTATATGAGTGTAATATATTTATGCATATATACATATATTTACACACATACACATATATGCACATATATATATATATATACTTATGTTCAATATCTCTGCTCCCTCCCCCTAAAAGATGTAAGCTCCTCAAAGGTAGGAAGTTTCTCTCATTTTTTTTGTTTTATTTTTGTACATCCAACACCGAGCATAGTACCTTACACATGGTAGGTCCTTCATAAATATTTGATGGATTTGGGTTGAATTGCCGTGGCTCAGGAGAGCCTTCTGGTTTACGATACAGGGTGTTGCCTTCACCTCCATTTTACAAGGTGATGAGTCCTCATTAGTGCTCATTTACGGACAGACTCACTTGTGAATAGTAAGGGTTCCTCTTCAGTTCTCGCCTAGGGGAGCATATACTAACAAATGACGCGTAGCCTGGCCAAGATCAAGATATCTCAGAGGGACCATATAATTGATTTTTTTCCCCTTCATTTATTTCTCTGTTCCTCTTTTGCCATAGGGAAGGTACGGGGAGAAAGCTGGCAAGGAAGAGTTACCCTCACATTTCCCAGATATTTTAACAATACAACAAAGGAAACCGAATATTTTACCCTTAACTAGATAAAGCCAGTTATGACAGGGGATTCAGGAGCCTGGAGCAGGAGGTCAGTTAGGCTGGGTCTATTATATAGAAAGGATCACCTTGTGGGAAGAAGAGAAGGGCACTAACCCGCCTGTCATCAAAGGCTCACTTACGGAACTGGGAGTCAGGGAGGGAAAAATCAAATGTTACATATTTAACATGTAACTAGATAGGTCTACGCACACCCCAGACGTGTTGACTGAGTCCCTTTGGCTGGAGGACCTGACGCATTTATCGGGAGGGGGGAGAAAATTGAGGGCTGGGAAGGTGGTGGGAGGGTCCAGAGACGGGGCGGGGCTTGTGTTATGAGATAAGAGCTCCTCCTACTTCGCTTGGCTTCTAGGGAACCATTTTGCGGAATTCATTGCAACCATTTTCCCAGCTTCTTAAACCACCTGCGTTCAGCTCCGAAGAAAACGCTCATTCAAGCGCAGGTTCCGGTGAGTGCTCCTGTTGCAACTCCTTGGCAGAGGGCAATGGATGGGACAGTGATGGCAGCTGGCCTCCCATGACCAGTGGTTGGCGAGGTCTGCTGGGGAACAGACCAGAACCAGAAGAGGAGTTTTCGAGGCCAGTGAGGTGGGAAGCTGAACAAGCGGACTTGTATGTGTTCAGACCTTGCTGTTTCTTCTCATTGGACAGGACCTGCGGGGAAAACAGCTGTGGGCTAATAATCAGTGATTTCTAAGAACCTTGCTGCTAACTCTCCATCCTCTCATTTAGTCCTGGCTCTGCCCCCGAAAGCTGTGTGATCCAGAGCCAGAGGTTTCCCATTCTCTTTGGGTCTCAGTTTTCTCCCCTGTGAAATGATGAGGATGGATTACAGACAGCAACCTGGGCTTCACCAAAGAGGTCGTTGCATAGATTTCAGGAGATCTATGAATTTGGGTGTGAAAAAATTTCATCTTTATCTTCGGTAACCTGTAACAGAAAATTAGCATTTCCTTTAGGTAATTAGAACATGTTTCCGAGAAGGGGTCTATAGACTGCCAGGGGGGTCCATGACACTTAGGGGACCAGATCCCCTGATCTAGAGAATTTCTGAAGTTTTTTTCCTAGGGGCAAATCCTAGGATTCAAAGTTAAAAGATTGCTAAACCAAAGGCAGGTGTGCTCTTGGGACTGGAATCATGAGAGAGCCTGTCCATTCAGTATCATGCAGTGCGGCACACAATCTGCACACTCTCTTTATTCATGGACTGTCTGAAAAGAAGCTGAATCACAGGTCCATACTTCTGGAGCTGGAAGGGACTCACAAGCCATGTAGTTAACACCCCCCACTCCTCAATTTATTGATCAGGAAACTTAGATCCACAGAGATGATGTGCCAAGATTACATGGGCAATAGGCTTTTGAGAGCATTTGAACCCAGGTGTCCTGATTCCAGAGTGCTAACAGGCTGCTGGATCAAGTTTTGGAGCTTGTTTTTTTTTTAGTCCTGTTTAAAATGCTGTGGTGCTATCATAAGGACTCAATCTTTTTTTTTTTTTTGTACTGTGATTAATCATTTTTCTCAGTTTTATAAGTTTATGTTTCTAGGGAAATGAGTTCACAGACGTGCAATCATTTGCAATCTTTTTTTTTTTCTTTTGCCAAGCCTCTATTTCCTAGAATCCCTTTTTCCTTCATAACTCAGGTTAAAAGCCATTTCTAGGAAAAGCCCTGCCTCATCACTTCAGCTGCTAGGAAGAAGGCTTTTGAATAGCGATTGCTTCATTCTCTGTGCTTGTATCTCTAGCACAAAATAGGTTATTTAATAAATGCTCATTGGTTGATTGATAGTTCTTTCTTTGCCCTTCTATTTATTTTGTGGTCTCCTTTGATAGAATATAAGCTCCTGTTGGACCAGGACCTTTGGTGGTTTTTGTAATCCCACTGCTTGCTGTGTAATGGGCAATTAGTAAATGCTTATTGATTGCTTTGTTCTTTTTTTCACTTTTTGTTCCTATTTTTGAATACTCATTCTTATTAAGGGAAGCTTCAATAAAAACATTTTAAAAGATAAAAACAAGTTTGAATTTTTGTTGTTCGGTAAGATGCAACAGAAAAGAAATGAAGCATCTCCTATGTGCAAGAACCATGTCTGGGCACCATGTTGGATCTCTCCTTTTCTCAGTAGCTCTCTCTCCCACCTCCCCCTCAACCCCCAATGACATTCCTACAAAGCACATCCCAGTAAAATGCACGCTCTTTGAGGTGGTGCCACTGTTATTTTTTTCTCTCTGCATTTCCGAGCACCCAGCTTGTGGCTCGTGTGCAGAAAGTGTTCGTCTAGCACACAGAAAGTTCAGAAAGGGTCCTTTGTCTCGTTTCTCTCTATGCTTGTCTTCTTTCTGTTGCCCACATTTTAGATATGATGGTTATAACTAGAGAGCACTCAGAGGAGGGTAACCAGGACGAAGTGCTTTAACCTAGGGCTACTCTTTGGCTATCCCCTTAGGGGACATAAAATATGTCTTTTAAGTATTTGAATAGTTACTAAGTGGAAGAAATAGACATCTGCTGCGCCTGGCCACAGAGAGGAAAGCAGGAGCTGTGGAGGGAACTTTCATGGCCTGTGAGAGCCGGGGCAGAAGTCCATCCCCAAGCGTGTTCCATCCCTGGAGGAAAGAGACTCCCCTTAATGAAAACCTTCCAGGAAACCTGCATAACCCTGATCGGGGAGTCGAGGAACCTCTCGTTCCTCTCCTTCGCACGCCGCTGCCCGTACTGGGCCATCAGTTTCTCTCGGTTTCATTTAGTGCCCCGCCTTTCTTCCTCTCGATTGGCCCGTGGGCCTGCCTGTGTCCCTCGGGCTCTCCCGGCGGGCCTCCCCATTGGCCGAAGCACACGAGCGGCCGCGGGGTGGGGGGGAGGCGGGGGAGGGGGAGGCGGGTCCGTTCCTTTTCCGGCTCCCGCCCCCATGCCGCCGGTGCCCGCCTCCTCGCTCCCCTCCGGGGCCGCCGCCCAGAAGCTGGTCTTGGGCTCGGCCGCTGACTGGGACGGCTCGTCTCAGCCTCGTCTGCTGCCGCTGCTCCCGGGCACGTCATCGGGCAGCTCCGGGTTTAGCGAGGAGGCGGCTCTGAAGGAGCGGGGGCGGCGGCAGAGCCGGGTCTCTAGACAAGGCCGGGGCCGGGGCCGGAGCCGGAGCCAGGATCTCAAGCCGGGGAGCCTAAACCCCGGTCCGAGGCCAAGCCAGAACTCGGGCTCCTCGCGCTGGGCCCGCACCGGCATGGCGGCCTCGACGGTGCTGGGCGCCGGCCTGGCGCGGATCCTCTTCTACCCGACGCTGCTGTACACGCTGGTGCGCGTCAAGGTGTCGGGACCTGGGCACCGCGACTGGTACCACCGCATTGACTCCACCGTACTGCTGGGCGCACTGCCGCTGCGCAGCCTTACGCGCCGGGTGAGTTGGGGAGGGAGGGCGGGGTAGAGAGGAGACGGAGGGAGGGGCCGGAGGGAGCGCGGCCGGGCCTCCCCCCATTCCGCGCCCGGCCTGCTCCGGCGCAGTCACTGCGCAGCCTCACACGCCGGCTGAGCCGGTGGGAGGGGGAGGGGCCTGAGCTGAGCGTGACCTCTCCTCGACCTCCTCGCGTGCCGGATGGGGAGCGGAATGGAGGCGGGCGGGGGGTGGGGAAGTGGTCAGAGAACCTGGCGCGGTGGCCGGGGAAGGAGAGTGGGGGGGCCAGCCCGCGCCGAGGCAGCTGGACCACCGGGGACCTGGGCCTCCCCAACCTCGGCAGATCGGGAGAAGCCCGCGTTACCTGAAGGGGCCTAGGACTGGAACTAAACCGGGATCTTTAAAGACAAGGTCTTCGCTGTAGGGCTGGAAAGGACCCTAAAGGTCATCTAGCCCAACCCTCGTTCAGAGACACTAAATGATTCGCTCAAATTCATAGCGGTGGTCTCAGAGGGAGATTTGAATTCAGGGCTTCATCCAATCACTACACTTTCCTAAGGAGGCCAATTCTCTCGTTTTTTTAGAGGCCCTGAAAAGGGAAATGACTTGTACTGGGTCAATCAGCAAACGCGTTAAGTTTACTTTATGCCAGGTTCTGTGCTAGGGATGAGGGATGCACATGCAAAAGAGAGCCTAGTGCTCCAGGTCAAACAGATATTTAAGTAACAGAGCTGGGGTTTGAACCTCGGATCTCATTTGCCACCTGGGACTGCCAGCATCTCCATTCAATAGAATAAGTAGTTTATTAAATACCTACTTTGTGCAAGGCACTGGGGATATAGACAGATGGGGGGGAGGGGCAATGGTTGGGGAGTCTCTGTCCTTGTAGAGTTTTACATTCAACTGGGAAATCAACAAAACTCATCCAGAAATTTCTCTGAGAGCTGTCAAAGTGAAACACCCAACTTTCTGAAGTAATGGTCTTCAATGTGGGTCTTCCTGGAAGAACATTTACTTGTCAAGTATATTTCTACCTTCGGGTCTGAAGTGTACTAAATGACCTGTGAGGTCACATCGAATTCAAATTCTGTTAACATTTATTAACCCTTTACTGTGGGCAAGGCTAGTGCTGGAGATGAATGTTTAAAAGAAGCAATCTGGTGTGCAGGGAAAGATCAGATTTGGAGTCAGAAAACCTGGCTTTCAATTTTGCCTACTTAAACGGTGTAACCTTGGACAAGTCACATCCTTTCTACAGGCTTTAGTTTTTTCATTGGCAAAATGAGATTGGACTTAGTGCTCTAAGTTCTACAATCTTAATAAAGATAACACATGGTAGTATATAGTAGGGGATCAAAAAAAAAGATAGACAAAATGCTGGAGGAAAATTTGAAAAATTTTTTGGGTTTTTTTTTCTTTCTACAGCTGATAGAGAAGGAGAATGTTGGGGGAGTGATCACCATGAATGAAGAATATGAGACGAGGTTCCTGTGTAACACAAAAGAGGTGAGGGCTTCAGGAAATAAATCCCACCAAAACCTGCCAAACACAGCTCTTACCCAAGTTGCACTCAGGACCCTGTAAGTGTTTTTCAGACAGAGGTAGAAAAAGGTGGGCTGAAGGGACATCTACAGGGTCTGGAGACTGTTCAGGGCCATAGGACCCTGCAGAACTATGGGAAATTGAATAGTCCTGTGCAGATTGACCTTGGACCATACAGTTAGATATTTCTTCTGCCTTACAGAAATCAAGGGTGTAAAAGTCCTTGTTCCCTTTTAAACTTAACTAATTCAGATTGTAAGTAGGAGAGGAATAATCTGAAAATGGCATTTTGAAAGCAAATTTATTACAGTTTAAAATGACCACATTTATTCCAGAGTTGTACACAATGCAATATTATTTCAGATCCTGTGAAAAAATTGGCACTGTTTGATGAAAACATAAACCAGGTCCTTTGTTAAACAAAACTTAGGTCCATGCTGGCTGGTAAAAGAAGATTCATGTTCTTACTAGACAGATTACAAATTCTTTCTATCATCTCTACAACCCAAGTTACTAAAACATTTGAAGATTCTCCAAGGACTTTCTGTAGATCCTATACTGGAGAAACATGTCTTCATGATAATAAAGTGATAAAATGCTAACCTACTCCACATTAGTTTTTGGGAGAACTCGAGTTCACGGAGAATGTTTTAAATCAAAAATGCTCTAGAGCAGGGGTGGGGAACATTCAACTCCAAAGCCACATGTGGCCCTTTAGGTCCTCAAGTTTAGTCCTTTGAATCCAAACTTCACGCAAGAATCCCTTTTGACTGAATCCACCAGAACAAATCCCCTTAATAAAAGGATTTGTTCTATAAAACTTGGGACTCAAAGGACCTCATTTGAAGACTTAGAGGTCCATATGTGGCCTTGAGGCCACAGGTTCCCCATCCCTGCTCTAGAGCCTTTGCTGGGCTACCCATTTGGAGAGTGCTTAACATAAGCATATTAGCAATCTAAAATTGTTTCTGGCTTGCTTACTTCTTAGGGAAAGCTATTTCTTTTCAAAAGACCCAAGTAATTTTAAAGCACATTTCTGAATGTTCTGAAATCTTCTTGGATTATTTATTTATTTAGGCAATTGGGGTTAAGTGACTTGCCCAGGGTCACACAGCTAGTAAGTATAACGTGTTTGGTCTGAGGCCCAATTTGAACTCAGGTCCTCCTGACTTCAGGGCCAGTGCTCTATCCACTGCACCACCTAGCTGCCCCTTCTTCTTGGATTTCTTAAAGAGCATTTGCCTCAAAGATCATTAGCCAGACCTTAAAATATGTATTAGTCTGTCAGTTGTAGAGCAAGTGAGGGATATACAATTTCTACAAAGTATGCCCTAATTATGTTTGCCAAATTTAGATTTGGAAACAAAGCATGATTACCCTAGGCAACATAAATATTGACTTTTTTTAAAATCAATCTCCAAAATAACGTTATATTTATGGCTTTATGTTCATTTAATCAAAGTTTTTAAACTATGGCCATTATGCATGGTTTAGGGTTTTCCAAGTAGAACTGAGACCTGATTAAGTATACACTCCACAGTCAGAAGTCTTAAGGCAAAAATAAAATTGCCAGGATACCATAAAAACCCTTCCCGTTTGCATCTTTTCTTTCAAGTAATAATGATATGCAAGTACTGGTGCATTGATTTTGATTTGAAAATTCAATTTCCTAGTTAATTTATGCACTCTTCTTTTCCTACCCCTATTTCACACCCCCCCCCCCAGGAATACTTCTATACAGGCTTAGAGAAACTGTGAAATAGTTCCATAAAAATATGCTTAATAGGATTGTACATGTATGGCATATATCAGATTGCATGACATCTTCTGGGGGCGGGAGGGGAAAATTTGCAACTCAAAATCTTAAAAAAGTGAATCTTGAAAACTTAAAAAAAATTTTTTAATTTCTTGTGGAAAATTAAAAAAAAAAAAAGGTAGTTCCATAAACCCAGGAAACCACTCAGGTGCCAGGACGACCCAAAGACAGAATCACACAACTCTACAGCTGTTAGATATCCTGTGGTGGAAAATTCTGTAAAAGAAAATTAAAATAGCCAAGAGATGCATTAAAAAAAGATTGTGTTAAATCTTTAAAATGTTTCCACTGTTAAAAGAGCAACTCTTCTTTCATTAAATATTAACAACATAGGATCAGCCATCTTGGAGACCTTTATGCAGAAGGCTTGTTTTATAGAACAAGGAATGTTCAGTTTTACTCAGATGATGTTAAAGTTAACCCTGGTAATTATCATGTTTTGTTCTGCCGAATCTCACGTGTTCACCCTCATACCACCCACACTGTTTCATTTTCTTTTTCTACTGCCGGAATTGATTCCAGGAATGGAAAGCCCTTGGAGTAGAGCAATTGCGTCTCAGCACAGTGGATATGACTGGAGTCCCAACTTTGGAAAACCTAAAGAAAGGTGTCCAGTTCACACTAAAGTACATGGCACTGGAGAAATGTGTCTATGTTCACTGCAAGGCTGGGCGCTCCAGAAGTGCCACCATGGTGGCAGCCTATTTGATGCAGGTATGAGATTGGGCAGAGTTCAATACAGACCCTTCCAGGGACTCCGTCACAGAGTTCAGAACTGGCCCACTAATAGACCACTGTGGCAAGAGAAGTGAAGGGAACCAGTCAGAGATCTAGCATAGACAGATATAGCCTGTCCCTTCTAGCAGACTTCAGGTTTCTTCTCTCGTGGTAGAAAGAGGAAAATTCTGAGGACTTCTCTTGTATCTCTCCTAGTACCTACTAGTGCTTTGCATATAAGTCACTCAACAAATGATTATTCAGTGAACTAAGGTGTTTCTATGTCATGAACAAAGAAAGAGAACAGTGTTTTCTGGGCAGCAGTGAGTCCAGGAGTACAGGTTTCTTTTGGTACTACTGATGAACTGTAGGTGGGAGTGTGATGCTTTACATATGCTTTGCTCAAGAGTTTCAGAACAATATAGGCCTGAAGAACAAAGGCCTGAACTGTCACGCCAAGACTTCCAAGGGATCTTGCCTCTCTCCATTTCTAATCTAATGCAACAGCCTTGACGTAAAGCAATGACAGAAAGAGTTGTTTTTAATTGTCTCGCGGAATTTCACAAAAATGTCTCCTGTCTTGTCTGGCTGTCCTTGAAACTCTCAGTCCCTCATTTTGGAGGGAGCTGGTTGGCAATTCAGGCTCCTCTCCACAACTCGGGCACATTACTTTGCTTTGCAGCACTACCCCACCTGTAAGAGGTTTGTTAAAGCAAGAACAAGTTTATGAAACCAGAGACAATGACTACTTACCTCTCAGGGGAAATCCAAGACAATCTTCAAACTGTGTACAAGGAGAAAGCTGCAACATAAAATACCTCTACATAAAGTTCGGTTCAAAAATGACTTGAGAGCATAGTGGTCCTTAGACCCTTAGCACCTGGTCTTGGGGCCTGGGCAGAGACACTCCTGCCTTCGTTCATGCCTTCTCACTTTCCTTTTTACTCCAGGTGTACAAGTGGAATCCAGAGGAGGCCGTGGATGCTATTGCCAGGATCCGTTCCCACATCCACATCCGACCTGGGCAGGTAGAGGTCCTCAAGGAATTCTACAGACAGCTTATGGCTGAAGCAGAAAAAACTAAGGCTTCCCAAGAAGTACCACGTCATGAATGAAGTAGGGGGACTGCAAAAAACTCTTAAGACTCTGCTGCTCATTACAGAATAAAGAAGTGCATTCAGTGGACCTTAGGGGCTGTAACCCATAATAGACAGAAAAACATTCTGCTCTACCAGAAGTGTGGCAAAGGATGGATAACCATCCTCTTTGTCTGCTTTGTTTTGCTCCAGTCTCAGAAAACTGTTCATGCTACAACAGAAACTAAGTGTAACCTCAGGTCTCAGAGGATTTTTATCTTTTACTACATAGGGGCCAAAAAAAACTCCATTTGATAAGTATATGTTGAGGCCCCATGTGCCCAACATTTTTCCTCTTAGGATTGTCACTGTAAAGCATCTTAATCCTGGGAAAGGGGAAGAGAAAGACCTTAGCTCTTGACCTTCACAGATGTCTTTTTACAACTCTTGATCTTGGATGAGAGAGAGAATGTCACACGGGCAAGTCTTGGGCATGAAGTCACATGGCTTTAGGAGGTGACCCATTCAGTGGTAGACACAAACACGTACACATCCCACCAAAGACTTTTATTATGATAACAGTCCTGGCTTTTGCCTGGGTTCACAGCCTCTACAAGAACAGAGGCTATTTCTGCTATGGATCAGAAACAAAATCTTTGCCTCAAATGTAGTCACAGGGTCACCTAGAAATAAGTGCCATTTACTTTGACAAAGGAGAAGACACTACAGAGAATTCCTAGAATTCTAGATTGTCACTGTGGTGCCTAAAGAGCAGCCAAGCAATAGCCAAGGCCAAAGCCCTCACTAAAACCACAGATCAGAGCCTGAAGGAAAACTGCAAACTATGTTTTCTTTAGGTCACAAGGAAACAGTATCCCTTCTACCGCTTCAGTTTCCTGGAAAGAAAAGGCCCTAGGGTGAGGGGCCCTCACGTTTAACATTGTTCAGATAGAGGGAGGGCTGTGCCAAAAGATTTAGGAGCTGTTCTGTCTAAACCAAGCACAAAAATGCCCAGGGATTTCAAACAGCAGGCTAGTCCACCCGTAACTCCAGGTAGGGGTCGGAGATGCCTCTGTGTAAAAAGCCCCAAGGAGAACTGTAGCCTACTCCAGTTTGGAAAAAGGCTCTAAGAAATAGCTTATGGTGAGCAGCAGAAGGTAGCATAGTGGTCTTAGAGACAGGATTCCTTGGAATAGTGGGTTATGAGGCCTTTCAGGCTAGGGCGAGGAAAAGAAGGAAGTGACCTGGGAAAAAGGAGGGAGGAGTAGTTGTCTACTCTTTTTCTGCAGGGCCTTAGGCCAATACAAATTGCAGGTTGGTGAGCAACACCTTAATGCCACTGGTGACCGTTAGAGCTGAGGTGGCAGGGTCAAGCTTGTAGGTGTTGGCATCCCCCTTTTTGTAGTGGTCTCGGAATACATAAATACTGCCATTGCAGCTGGCAATCTTCCAGAGCGAGGGAGCTGAACTCCAGGCCTCAGGAAGGCAAAGCCGGGTAAAGCTATCCAGCAGTGGGTTATAACACACTAGGGAGTCCCCCTCTGCTACTATGAACACCAGGTCCTTGTGTACAGCAGCATGCATGTGGCCTGCAAAGGGCAGCAGGTAGGGCTTCACGTGGCATTTCTCCGTCTCTGTATCAAAGCACTGGATGAGCCTAGAAGGTTTTGTGAAGAAATCCAGATCATTCTCTTCACCCCCTAGCAAATAGATGATCCCGTTGAGATTGGCCCCAGCAGCCCCTGATACCGCCACCTCCAGTTGGCTAGTCTCCGTCCAGACGTTGTCTCCCACTCGATAGTAGATAACAGCATTGGAAAGGGTATCTTGTAGGGTCTTGCCACCTAAAGAGTAGATGGCATCTTTTCCAGGCACAGAGACCAGGGTGTGCTGGAGCCGATCACGGGGTAAGGGAGCACACCACTCCCAGTCGACGGTTGCATTGTTGCATTTCCACATCCGGCGGGGGATTGACCCACCTACCACATACAGGTCACCGCCATGCTTGCAGGCCGCTGTGATCTGATGGCACAAGCTGTTCTGGCCACTTACACTGATAGAGTCATCCCCAGCACAGCGTAGGGAGACAGCCAGGGAATGAGTGCGAGAGGATTCCTTCCCAATCAGGTAAATGTGTACATTCTCTCCGATTTCCTGTTCACACAATTAAAACACAGAAACTCATTCCTGGATTCTGACTGAGGAAGACCTGATCCCAATAAGCTCTCCTTCCCACTGCTGTCTTGCTCAAACTCACCCCCATCTGGTGGCTGTGGGAGCCTCAGCCTGACTCTCCTCCTATCACTGTTTTTTAATTGCACTCAGATCTCCAACTGCTTCACTGTGGTTGTAAGTTAATTGTAGGGTCTGTGTCAGTTTGCTAATGTTCAAGTCATAATGGAAAGACCACACTTAAAGAGTAGCTGCATGGATAAACAAGTAATAGGCACAAAAAAAAAAAAACAACCGGAAGGAGACCGGAGTTCGACTGCTTTTCATCCAACTGGGACAATAAACACATCCTCCTGCGCAATCTCCTACTACAGTCCTTAAAGCCTGGCTTTCCTCATCCTTACTGTCTACATTAGGGAAGCCAGGGTGACTTAAGTATGTGGGGGATTATTATGGAAGGTCTCTTAGGGATTTCATACCTTTAAGCTGGATCTGAGTGATTCTGAAAAGCTCTCTCGCTCTTCTTTGTTGAAGTTGACCCAGGTTTCTATTGCCTCCGATGGGTTCTGGGAACGTGGTACTCCATCTGGGGTGGGGGGTGGAGCATAGGAAGAAGGTTGGCACAATCATTCCGTAAGTTACAGCCAGAAGTGTCAGTGACACTAACCACAACATTTACCTACCTTTTTCTTAGGGGGAAAAAAAATCCTGCCTGTAATTAATCTACCTTGTATGCTAAAAGTATGGGTTTTCATGCCCTAGTCTTCCACCTAATGTTCCCACTTCTAATCATGAATGTGCAAAGCAAGGTTTCCGTTTTATCTCCAAGAACCAGCGCGTTCACCCAAAGCCAACTCATTCTTAAAATTTTCATTTCAGTAGTTTGATAATTTATCCTAAACATTTAAACACGGCCAGGTCCACAGGGCCTTCCAGGCATATGGCAGACCAGCACCTACGTGCACGAGCCAGATCCCTACGGAAAGATGTTCCCCAAGCATCTGCTGGGTCCCTGGCTCCGGCTCCGGTTTCCAACTTGGAGCCCCGTACGCCAGGTAGATGGGAACAAAGACGTTTTAAGTATCAGGTCTTCCTCGCCGCGCTTACCTTTGATGATGTCGGTGAGCAAGTGATGGGGCAGATGAAGAAACTCCTCCGTGTCCTGCAGCTGGGCGAGGTGGGTCTTGGCGCAGTGCTTGGCCGCGGCGTAGAGCTCGGCGTCGCTGTGCCGATCGGCCAGCCACATCACCTGCAGGCAGTTTCCCACCTGCACCGTCCGGGCCAGGAAGCGGGAGCACTCCTCGAACAGGGAAGTGAGCTGGTACATGTCGGAGACCTCGTAGATCTCCTGCAGCTCGTCGGCGCGCAGCTTCACCGTGCCGTGGTAGATGTAATCCACCAGGAGCTGGAAGACCGACTCGCTGACGTCCTGCAGCACGATCACGCGGTTGTGCGCTTCCCGCAGGTTGGACGTGAACATGGACCTGAAGAAGCAGCTCTGGGCCGACAGGACCAGCCTGTGCAGCTGGAACTCGCGGCCTTCCACCGAGATGGTGACGTCGGCGAAGAGCTCTTCCTCCAGGCACAGCTTCATGATGCCCTGGGCCACGCGGCCCGAGTGAGACCGGTCCTTGAACGTGTAGTTCACGAAGTAGTTCTCCTCCGTCGAGGCCCCGGGCTCCTCGGGCGACTCCATCGCGGCGGGCTGCTCTCAGCTCGGGCCGTCTGCAAAGCAAAGGCGCCAGGATGGGCGGCCCGAACGCGCCGGCTTAAAGGGAGCCGGGCCACGGGCGGGGGCGGGGCTCGCAGGTGCGGGCCTTTAAGCGCCTCGCGGCCCCCTCCACCCCCGGCCCGGCCCCCTCCCATCTGTCATCGCGGCTTCCCCCGGCCTGCTGACCCCGACCTCCGGCTCTGCCTGCTTCTTCCGGGGGGGGGGGGCGCCCGAAACCAGAGCGTGACACCGCCCCAGGGCCGCCGGGCCGGAGGTGGAGGCCTCCCCGGCACCCCACCCCCCCGCCCTCGCTGCTCCGCCTCGCCCTCGCTCGCTCACCTGCGCCTCCAGCTCTCATCCCGTACCCCGGAACCTCTGGCTCGGCACCCGCGTTCCCCCGGATCCAGCGCCCGCCGCGTCCTTCCGCTTCCGGTCCGTGCCCTTGGCGCTCCGTGTCCTGTCTCGTCCCCTCTGCTGGTTCTGGGGCTCGGCGTCCTGGCGACATGATGGCGGCGACGGCGGCCCGGAGCCTGCTGCGGGGGCTCGTGGGGGCGGCCGGAGCGCGGGCGCGGGGTGAGCGGGGGGCGGCCGGGGCGCGGGCCGGGGGCGGGGGACGCCCGGGGTCGCCTGAGGCCGCCTGGGGCCTCGCTGAGGCCGCGTCTGTGCTTGCAGGGGCGGCGCGCGCCGGGGCCCTGGTGCCCGTGCGGAGGGAGAGCGGCCCGGGGGCCCGCGACCAGGCGGCGGCGGCGGCCGGAAGCCAGCAGCGTGAGTAGCGCCCCTGCCCTGGAGAGGGAAACTGAGGCGCGGGGGGGGAGGGGGGGGGGGAGGGGGAAGGAGCCGGGCCCCGCCCCGCGGGGGTCCCCCCCCTGCTGTGCGGTGGCGGTGTCGGGGCGGCTGGGGCTCGGAGGGGCCGGAAGCCGGCTGCCCCCCAGGGTCGCCTCGGTGCCCTCGTCTGTAAAATGGGGGGCGATAACGGCATTTTCCTCGAGAGAACCGAGTGAGATAATATCTGTAAGGGTCCGAGTAGATGCTAATTGTCATTACTACGGGTACTCCCGCAGTGGAAGGAGTGTTGAATTTGCAGTCGTAGGACTTGAGTTCAAATCCTTTTTCCACCACTGACCATCTGTGTGACCTGTGGGAGAGTCAATTAACCTCTCCAGGCCTCAGTTTCCGTAAATTTTAAAAAAACGAGTGGTTTGAACTGTTGTTGAGTTATGTCTGACAAAGTTCGTGGGGTTTTCTTGCCAGAGTTACTGGAGTGATTTGCCATTTTCTTCTCCAGTGTGTCCCCATTTTACCATGGGGAATTGAGGCATTTGCCTCCATTAGCTTAAAGATTAACCTCAAAATAAGGGTTAAGCGACTGTCCCATAGTCCCACAGTCATTAAGGGTCTGAGGCAGGAATTGAACTCAGATCACCCACTGCTCCATCTACCGCTCCACCCCACTGCTGTGTTTTGAACTGGTGACTTCTCAAGAACCTTTACTTCTCTAAATCAGTGACTCTATCCTTATCCCTTAGCACAGTGCCTGCCACATCTTAAGCATTAAGTTAATGCTTGTTGATTGACCTAAAAGAAGCCTTTGGAGGACATACAGTCCTAGACCTTTCCCTTTGACAATGAATAGCTGACGCCCAATGATGAAGTTTCCCAAGACCCCACAACTGAGCAGAGCGTTGGGACTTGAACCCAAGTCTCGAAGTTTACAAGTTGATTGTTCTTTATGATGCCTTATCACTGGGCCTTGGGAAGGTTAGCTCTTGATTCATTCACCAGAGCTGTGGGATTTATGAACAGAAGACATTCTTCTGTGTTAATCAAGAAAGGTTTCTTGAAAGAGAAGGCTTTTAACAAGACTTTGTTAGGGGCAGCTAGGTGGCACAGTGGATAGAGCACGGGTCCTGAAGTCAGGAGGACCTGAGTTCAAATGTGGCCTCAGACCAAACACGTGATACTTACTGGCTGTGTGACCATAGGCAAGTGACTTAATCCCAATTGACAAAACAAAACGAGACTTTGTTGTGGAAAGATCACTAGATTTTAAATCAGAGGACCAACAGGGGATTTAACTATCTGGGTGACCTTGGACAAGTCATTTAATTTCCTTGGTCTCAATCTCATGTCCCAGACTAAATCCTATGAATCTTTTCATTAAATTGCTTTCCAGCCTAAGCATTCCCACTGTGTTCATTTCATGGTAACACCTTCTGGGATGCAGGATGATTTTCCTGACTCCCAAGGGCCAAGTCTTGAAACTTTCAGGGATTCTTCTGAATTACTGCTAAGAAGGCTCCAAGTAAGGCCTTAAAATGCCATAGCCAGCCAGTGTTCTTTTCTCTGCATGCATTCCCTTTCCGTTTGCCCTCTGTAAAATGGGATTTCTTTTTCTTTTTGCTTTTTAGCCACGGTTAAACAGTGGGATGAAGTGACCCATAAGCAACTCTCTGCTTTTGGAGAATATGTGGCTGAGATCTTACCCAAATACGTCCAGCAAGTTCAGGTATGGTTACTAGGCATAGATGATTTTCGTGGCCAGTGGAGTTATTGGGCTGTGGGTCAGTACTTCCTCAGGGTCAGTGGCTGAGGGCTGAGCTAGGAAAGCATTGCGTGTTTATCACCCCCACTTTAGCAAGGGACTTAGCAAATAGTAAGCACTTGAGCAGTGATTTTTCCTTGACTCAGTGGATCGCAACATGCTCATTCCAAACCTCTACCTGCCCTGCCCCAGATGAAATGCGTTAAACCCCATTGCAGCCTCCTTTCAGCAGCTCTGGATTCCCTTTCCTTGCTTCCTAGGTATCGTGCTTCAATGAACTAGAGATCTGTATCCATCCCGAAGGAGTCATCCCTGTGCTGACGTTCCTCAGAGATCACACCAATGCCCAATTCAAGTCCTTGGTTGACTTGGGAGCAGTTGATGTGCCAACCCGGCAGAACCGTTTTGAGGTAGGTGGGGAGAATCAAGAAGTTTGGGGAGTTAAAAGAAGAGATGGATTGTCTCCTTGTGTTGGTGAAAGCTTTTTGAAAACTGTGAGCATTATCCCTGTCACTGTGGCATTATTATGTATTCCTTTACTCAGGGACTTGTTATTGTTTCTGGGTGTGCATTTCCTCCGTCAGCACAGACCACAACCCCTCCCTGCCTTAGGAAACAGTGCTGCGAGTGGTGGTGGTAGCCACCACAAGGCAGTGTCCTGGAGATGAGTCTCCTCGGATTTAGCCCAGTCAGTCTTTGGATGACCTTGTGCCAAACGGACCTGGGCTTTGACAAAGCAAGGTTACTTCCTTGCCGCAAAGAGGCGTCAGAATAGGACTTGAATTAGGCGAGTGTTGGACAACGTGGGAGGCAAAATATGCCCACTTTAGTGCACGTGCTAGAAAATGCCACCAACCTTGTTCCTTCTGTTCCTGAAATGTTGGCAAACTAGGCCTCTATTACGTTATTGTGGTTTTACTCATCCTAAAATTAGGAGCTTTTTGAAACCACAGAACCCGTCCCTGTAGACTTAGAACTGCCATGGAGTTCACCGAAGTCATTCTATATAGTATGCATCTCTGAGGGTACTAGGGTCACATCCTGAAATCAGACTTGTCTCATGGAACAGTTACTTCTGGATGCCGGCCTGGATAGATATGGGTGCCTCGTAGTAACCATGAGCAAGGTTGGGAGTAGCACCACCTATTGTAGGGTGGGACTCAAGAATTGCTAAGAGCTCTCAAGAGCTTGGTCTCCTACAGTTGTCCTTGTCTGGGCTCAGGGACACTACAGCCCCTCTAAGTACAGGCAGCTACGGTACAGCGGGCCACACTTGCGCTTGGGAATTCAGATGCAGCCGGATGCCTAGAGGTTTGGGGCTTGAAGAGGGAAGGAGGGCACGGTAGCTCTTGAAAATGAGAATATTATGACCCCGTCACTCCACATGTTTGTCCAGTTTCAACCTCGTCGCTCTTGCCGGAGCCCCCGGTGGAGCCCAGTTCGCTTTTTCCTTTCTGTTCCGGTGTTAGATTGTGTATAACCTGCTTTCTCTGCGCTTCAACACTCGGATCCGAGTGAAGACGTATGCGGATGAGCTGACTCCCATTGATTCAGTGCTGTCGGTGCACAGAGCTGCAAATTGGTATGAAAGGGAGGTGAGTTGTGAAAACGGTGAAGCGGTGAGAGGGCCCGGAAACAACCCTACGCAAAGGCATTGCAGGCAGTGTGAACCTGGCGTCTGGATTTCATGTCTTCTAGATCTGGGATATGTTTGGAGTCTACTTTGCCAATCACCCGGATCTCAGGAGGATCCTGACAGACTACGGGTTTGAGGGACATCCTTTCCGGAAGGACTTCCCCCTCTCTGGATATGTAGAGGTACAGGGAATCTGGGTTTAGTCATTTGTGATTCCATGATCTGTCAAGCCTAGAAGACATTCACCATGAGACAGAGCCTCCAAGATCGTTCCAAAAGAAGGTCATGGAGATCTTCCTTTTTTTTTTTTTTTTTTCTTCTTTTTTGGGTAGGCAATGGGGTCAAGTGACTTGCCCAGCGTCACACAGCTAGTAAGTGTCAAGTGTCTGAGGCCGGATTTGAACTCAGGGTTCTCCTGACTCCAGGGCCAGTGCTGTATCCGGTGCGCCACCTAGCTGCCCCTGGTCTTCCATTTTCTACTCACCAATCATTCCCTGCTTCTCTCTCACCCCCACCCTGCATTGAACCCTCCCAAGCAAAGGTCGTTTCCAGCCTGGCCTCAGGAGACACCTCACAGACCATCTGGTTGAATCCCCTCATTTTACAGGAGAGGAAACTGAGGCCCAGAGAAGTCATTTGACTTAGCCTTAGTCCCCCAGGCAGAGCTGCTGGGTTTTGAACTCAGGCCCTCTGGCTCCAAAGCTGCTGGTCTTCTCTACCCTGAATTTCTCTGTTGAGGCTACTGAGGGCAGAAGGAGTAGTCAGACTCTAGCATTAGTCATCTGCCCTGGTGGAGACTCCATACACTTGAACCCACACCTGTTGTTTTGCCACCTAATGGGTTATGTGGATGTAGGCTAGCAACGCAAATCAACTTCTCCCGGCTCTGTTATATCAACCATGGTACAACAGATATTTATTAAGCACCTGTTGTGGGCAGGGCACTGTGGTAGGCACAGGAATGCCAAGACAAAAAGATGAAATAGTCCCTCAAGGAGCTTACATTCTACTGGAGGGACAAAACTTAGACACAGTCCGTGAATCAACAGGTATTTGTTAATTGCCTACGATGTGCTGAACACTATGCTAGGATGCCCATACAAAGAATGAAACAATCTCTTCTCAAGGAGTTTAGCTTCAAATGGAGAGACAACATGACACATATAAGTATAAACTGAATAAGTAGAAAGAGAATGAATACAAAGTATTTAACTTCATTAGAGTTTGACAGTAAAGAGCCAAGAGATGGGGAGGTCAGGAAAGGCTTTCATGTAGAAAGTGGTGCGTGAACCATGTGTCTTTAAGGAAGAGAAGCATTCTAAGCATCAAGGATAAGGAGGTAGTGTTGTCCTGGGCTGGGGCATGGCCAGTGCAGGAGACAGGAGAGGGAGTAGGGAATGGGAAGGAGGCTGTTTGGCTGGATTTTGGAGTACGATGTCGGAGTCTTATACAGAGAAGCCAGAAAGGAAGATTGGGTTTGGTTACAAAAGGGCCTCGACAACAGAGTGTAGATGGATTAACCCAATTCCTCCAGTACAGCAAGAGAAATCAGAGCATCTCCCCTGTGGAGGTGGCCACTAGTCTCATCTGCCTATTGGGCTAAAGAAGACCTTTATTCTTTGACATTACCTAGCTCTGGGACCCCGAGCAACTGCATCAACCCCTCTGTTACCTCCTCTGTAAGATGGAGATAACGATTCGAATCCTTCCCACACTCAGTTGTAGTGAGGGCCAAAGGAGATCATCCGTGTCAAATGTACTTGACCATGTCAAGCACTGTGTCCATCATGTGAAGGATGGTGCGTCATCAGCCCTGGGATCTTCAGCTTGGTTGCCTAGTTTTCAGTCCCACATCAGCTGAAGCATAAAGACCAGTGGTGTCATTGATCTTGAGACAGAGTGGTATTGGGGATGCCAGGCAGGCAATAGTCTTAGCACAAGTTGGTACCTTGTTGGTCATTGACATGAACAGAGGATGAAAGGAGAGGGTAGTGATCAGAGAAGAATTGGCTTCTGGATCTTAGAGGCTGAAGTTGGGCCACCCCTGTGGCTAGGTGGAGGGTATGACCCTCCTGCCCCTGGGCAAGGTGGCCACACCCCAAGCCTGCCCCTGGCCTTTTGCTCTCTGCAGGTCCGATACGATGATGAGGTGAAGCGAGTTGTGGCAGAGCCGGTGGAGCTGGCCCAGGAGTTCCGGAAGTTTGATCTGAACAGCCCCTGGGAGGCTTTCCCTGCCTTTCGCCAGCCTCCCGAGAGCCCTAAACTCGAGGCTGGAGATAAGAAACCCGAAGCAAAATAGCTTCTGGCAAGAGCTGAGCCTGCCTTGTAACTGACTATTTATGTAAATAAAGTCTTGTACCTGGACTTGAAGCTTCCTCTTCATTGGTATATATGAAAGCCCAGGGGAACCTTCTAGTGTCCTTTGTTTAGAGAATGATGTTGATGCACATGAAGAAGTGACAAAGCTGGGGGTCCGTCTCAGCAGGTTGAAATGAGCCAGCCGTGCACCAAGGGTCCAACAGGATCCAGTCCTGGTTCAGTCGGCCATGGTCCAGGCAAGATTCGGTTGTATTCTGGAGAGGAGCCAAAGAGTGGACTAGCATTGACCAAGGACGCTGCCTGGACTGTGACTGGTCTGGTTAGACCCCAGAACTGGCCCTGGCTGCAGTGATTTGTCTCTAAAGACCGAGCAGTTCTGAGTTATGGGTTTTGGCTGGGAAACTACCTTGTTTAGGTCCAACGAGAAACATCTTGCCCCACCCACCCTTTCTTTCATGCTGCAAACGTGATGATAGACGGGAGCGCCTGCTCCTTTTAGGGAATTGAACACACATTCCTGTTCCATGGGGCTATCCTGACAGCTAAATGGGTCTTGGGGCTTGCCAGACCTTCAGAACTGCACTGAGAAAGATTTTGAGGGGCCAAAGAAGAGTCCCAGGGTATGGGGTGAGGAATCGGGTGTTTGGGGAGCCTGCAGCTAGGGGTCAGCCTTCCCCAGAGAGAATCCTAGGGAGTTTGAGACTGGTGTCTAAACTTACTTATTAACACAAAGCCCACCCTCTGAGTAACTAACTGTTAGTCTTGGCTGCTGAAAAAGTCCCAGAGGCGTTGGCTGTGTTTGGTGGACAGTGATGACCAGTTGTAGGATGTTTTCAGAATGAGCACAAGAAGTATTGTGGGGTCACAGGACCCAGGCACTGACACACCCCTAGGGGAGTGTTGTGCAGTAACTATTTGCTACCAAACACCTTGTTCCTATTAACCAGACATCCCAGCCAACTGGGCATAAGCAGAGGGAAAAGGCCCCAGACGTCAGGGAAATGGGGCTCTGACTGCCAGAAAAAGCAAATTCCCTAAATTCAGGGGTTGAGAAGTCCCCCTGGGAAGCAATGGAGACTCCAGCCAGCCCCACCCTGCTCTACATTGGAGACAGATGGAAAGTGAGGAAGAACCGGTTCCAGTGGAAAGTTGGAGCTGTGGTGGAGACGGGAAAACTAGGAAGCTGGGGAAGTCAGGCAGCATTGTACGTGGCATGGCCCTGGATCTGCAGCTCCGAAGCTGGCTTTGGGCAATCCTGTGCCTCTCCCTTCCTGTGGGGGCTGCATCTCGATGGCACACAGGTAAGACCAATGAAAGAGGAGCAAAAGAAAGGCGGGGCTCCCCTAAATTCAAGGGGGCAGCCTCGGGGTTGTGGCGCTGGACCCAGGCGCCCTGCTTTTGGACAGTGGAAGGGCATAGGAGGCTGTCAGGGTACTGGTAGATGCGATGATGCTTGCTTATTCTTCCCTCCCCACCTGCCCCCCCCCCCGCCCCTGACCCGTGCCCAAGCCCTAGACAATCCTGGACTTAACAGAGGTAGAGCCCAGAAAGTCCCTCTGACTCCAGGTCATGGACAGGCCTCCTTCAGCCTCCCAGATTGGAAGGGCTCAGCCGGAGCTGAAAGAGGCCTGGATTAAACATGCCACGACGGCTTTCCCTTATTTTGGTCACGGGAGCAGTGAGGGCCTGACCTGGGTGGTGAGGACCCAGAGGACTGTCCGTTGCCTTCCTCTCCTGGAGCCATCGTGCCAGTCAGGCACCAAGCGAGTTCGGAGCAATGCTCTATCCTGTCAGTGGCGTGAGGTGGCTATGTCTTCCCTGTCCCAGGAGTTGTCCTGGGACACCCCACTCCGGCCATGTCCTCCCTACCCAAAAGGGACCCTCTGTCCCAGACAAAGCCCAGAAAACTTTCTTCTGTGGAAAAAAGCCCCACCGGTCCCAGACAAGCTCCTGGCCTGGGCGGGTGGGGGGTCATGTGCTAGGGTCAGCTACTGGACAGTCCCTCCCCGAATGCATGGCTGGGGTGGAGGAGCCCAGAGAGCTTGACTGGGCGTGTTATAGGAAGAGGACTAGGGTAGGACCAAGCGCGGCCCCCAGAAGTGGGAGCTTGGGGGGGGGGGCGGGGCGCGGGGGGGCTGTGGCAGATGGGACAGAGTCTATCCTCGCATTAGGCTCCTTGCCTTGAGCGAAGGTTAGGGAAAAGCAGTGGATCTATTTGGAGGCCGAAGGCCTGAGTTCAGAATTCCAGTTCTGCCACTTACTATCTGAGTGACCCAGGGCAAGTTGCTTCAAACCTGTTCCTCAGTTTCCTTACCTGTGAAGTGAGGGGATTTAACTCAGTGGTCTTTAAGACCCCTTCCTGGTCCAGATCCATGAGCCCATGATCTTTTCATGTGCCCTCGAGCAGAGCAGCTAAAGGGCCAGGGTGTCTGGGATGTCTCCGCCTTGTCAGTGGCTTCCTGTACCACAGATAGGTGCTTGTAGCGAGGGGCATGGCTACAGAAGAAGGGGGAGGAGGCCCTGAAACCTGTCTCTGGTTCTCCAGGACAGCCTATGGACAGTGCTGGTGTGGGCGGTGTTCCCCTGGAGCCAGAGCACCTGGACATGATGTTTGAGGTCACTGACCAGGGCCAGGACTTGCTGGGTGGTGGTGGGATGGATTGAAGAAGGAACTTAAGGCCAGACTCTGGGGTGGGGAGAATAACAGGGGTCCCTAAGCCCTGGGAGAGCCATGTTCTGCTGAGGGTGTCCACTGCAATTCAACCTTCTGCCTTGAGGTCCCCTCCCAACTGACCTGTAACACCTTGCCAAAGCCCTACCCGTCCTGTTTCCCAAGACCCACACGTCCCCTGTCCCAGTCCTGATACTAGGGCCATGTTTACCCCCTGGCTAGTCTGGGTCCTTGATCGTTATTTCTCCCCCTGGCTCTCCTCCCCTCAAGTCCCTCTTTCTCTTTAGTTCCTGTGGACAGGGCTGAAGCTGGACACCATGGGACAGTTCCACCTCCGGGATGAGGAGCTGGCGTCGACGCGCCCTGGCCGACGCCTCACCCTCTTCCTCCGGCACTGGGTCCCCAGTACCTTGGCTGGGACTGAGCGGCAGCTGCGGCAGTGGCACCAGGCAGCTCCCCTGAGCCCCGCCAGCTTCCAGCAGCTGCTGCTCACCGGTGTGGCCTGTGTCTATCGCCTCCACGCAGCTCTCGAGGGAGAGGAGAGGGCTCGCTGGGCTGAGCTCTTCTCCCTTTTGGGACAGGAAATACTCCAGGACCTGTGCAAGGACCACTGTCCCCAGGGTCAGACCCCCTTGCTGAGTCCTTGGGCCTTCCCCAGTGAGCTATCTCAACAGCACTCCAGCCCCTAGGCCCTGCCCTGGGCGGTGGGCATCTCCTGCTTCTTTCCAGCTCCCTCCCCTCCACCTGGGGGAGCCCCCCTGCCATTGGGGGCGTGGCTTTTCTCTCTCCTGCTCTTGCCCCTTTCTGAGACCCATGGTCCCCAGGAAGCACAGGGGAAGTCACTTAGGTGCTCTGGTCCTGTTTCCTCACCTGTAAAAGGAGAGTTGACCTGGATGATATCTAATGTCCCTTTCACCTCTAAGTCCTTTGGCACAGGGTCACAACATGGGCAATATATATGTATGTATACATACACACATATGTATTTATAGAGGGGATATAAATGAGAGTAGCAGCCCTAAGAACAATTGCAGAGATGGGACTAGGGGACATGGCGATCGGACCTGGGGACACAGAGGGACCATCTGTCTTCCCTGGGCAGCACTGCACAGTGCATGGCACATAGTAGGCACTTTAAAAATGTTTATTGACTGACTGACAGAGAGTTGTGGAGTCATCAAGAATCCTCCAAGGGCCTCCTGACTGACCGGCAAGGCTGGGGATAGAAAAAGAACTTTTCCCAACCCTAGACTTGACCGTGACTTTGAAATCACAATTTTCACCATAATCCCAACTCCCAATCCCATAGCTTCCTGAAAAATCTTTCAACAATAGGATTAAGTAGAGGAGGTTTGGAGGAAGGAGCCAGGAAGCTCGCTGAATGTCAGTGAGATCTGATGTGGGTATGATGAGGGGTACGGGGCCCTGTGCCACAGGAAGGGAAGCCTCAGCAGGGCATGCTGCTCCCGCCGTCCTAATGAGACCATCCCACCTTCGTGGGAGAACTGAGGCAGGGACTAAGATGCAAAGACAAGTTCTTCTTGTGAGTCATTTGGTTATTACAAAGTCCTGGGTCAATTGCCAGAGGTCAGAATGGGGCTCTCCTTTTTCCCCATCCTTTGCTCAGGAAGTAGTAGGAACCAAGGTGTAGTGGTGGTAGGGAAGGAGGTATCTAGACCAATCCTCCTTTTGGGAAATTTCAAGTTGGACATAAGTGTTGTGAGGAGCAGAATCTGGACTGCTGAGCCATCCCAGCCTCCCACCCCCTTTCTGTCGTCCCAGGGTCCTGGTCTAAAGAGCAACCATAACCTCTGCCAACCTTCCCCTAACATACTCTGCAGATCTGTTCCGTAATAACGTTTTGCTGTGGGCATGGGTGACGTCCCCTTTCCTCCTCTATTCCTTGCACCAGTTTGTCCATGTCAGAGCAAGTGGCTGTTCTCAGCATCACCCTATGTTGAAGCTCACATTCTCCCACCTCCTATAAACCATCCTCTTCAATGCCATGAAAAGGAATCAGAGATTCGAAGGAGGGTTGGATGGTGGGTATTTTAGAAGAAAGTCTGACATAGACATTGGGTCAGTTAAAGGGATCTAACAAAATGGGCACGTGGAAGGAGGGTTGGGCCAAAGGCAGGATGAGGTTAGCTAAGGAGGTTCACCAAGGAGTGTGTCTGGCTGAACACTGAGGAGTTGGGATGAAGAGGGTCAGGTAGGGAACCCAGTTAGAGGGGAATCAGGGGTGACAGGAGCATCAGACTGGGAAGAGGTCAGACCCCAAGAATCATGGGGAAGTCAGACTATCAGGCTTAGATGACAAGGTCAGATGCCTAAATAGGACCTTAAAACAGAAGTCAAGGTGGATGGGAAGTGAAGTTAGGGCACAGGGGCTGAGTCCCAACTAGCATCTCTATGCACTACCTTTTTTTTTTTTCTTTCTTCAGTTAGGGGTTAAGTGACTTGCCCAGGGTCACACAACTAGTAAGTGTCTGAGGCCGGATTTGAACTTGGGTCCTCCTGATTCCAGGGCTTGTGCTGTATTCACTGTGCCACCAACTGCCCCCAGAGTACCTCTTTTCCACTTAAAGGATTTGGCCTATAGCATGAGCAGAGTTTCTATTCCCTTTTCTTTCTGTCTTTCTATTGCCAGCATCTAGCACCATTCCGGGCACTTAATAAATGCTTGTGAATTAAGTGATTCTTCCTGGAGCGTGGCTGACCCCCGCCCAGACACAGACAATAGTTGTTATCTTCCCTACCCCTGCCCCACCTCACCTTGGGGCAGAACCCAATCAGTCCATGCCAAGACAGAGTTCCAGCTCAGATCCCGGCAGCCAGAGTTGTTTGGAGCCCTGCTTTATTGGCCCAAGTGCAGACCCCATCCCCACTGACTGGCTCCTGCAGCGTTTCCAGCTTTCATGCTCACACAGTGACACCGACATGTCAGTTGAGCCCACCTGGGCACTAAAGACAGACACATGTATCCACAGCATGCATCCCTCCCCCTCCCATACCCAGCTGTGTCTTCTGTCTCCACAGGGCCCCCCTTTGGAGAATGGATCAGGGGTCCTGGGGGCTGAATTGGCCTGGAGGGATGTCTGGGTAGACCAGGAAGCCAGTGAAGGTGATGTACTTGCCATGATTACTATAGGCCCCATAGCCTTCGTGCTGGTGACTGTGGAGCCAGACTGTGTCTCCAGGTTTCAGGGCCAGCATCACACTCTGGCTCTGCATCTCCCGCCGCCTTGAAGGGCTATCGTCATAGATCATGGCTTGCACCTCGTCCCGATTCTTCATCAGCTTCACTGACAACATCTTGTGAGGCATCTTGCCGATGGTGAAGGAAAAGTAGTAGGCGCCAGGCAGGCGGCAGTGAAAGATCCCTGAAGCGGCATCAAAGTCTCCTCCGATGTTGACGAATTCCGTGTCAAAGGTCAGTGGCCTGTGTCTGACAGAAGGTGCTTCATCAATCCCTACCAGGCTCTCAGAGCGGGCCACGGAGAAGGCAGAGCGGGGATCGGGTTCGGGCTCTGCTGCCAGGGCTCCAGGCAGCTGAGCAGGGAGGCTGTGGTGGCTATGGAAGTAGGAGGAGGTGTCTGGATAGATGAGGTAGCCACTGAAGGTGGTGCAGGGCCCCCCTGCTGAACCATAGAGTGCGTACTGGGGGTCCCCATGGAGGCGCAGCCAGACTGTGTCCCCGTAGTCCAGCTGCAGCATGGCGCTCTGGCTGGCTGCCTTGCGCTCAGGCCGCTGCTGTTCATCAAAAGCCAGAGCCTGCACCTCATTCCTGTTCCTCACCAGCATCACTGACAGACTCTTCTGAGGGTATTTACCCACAGTGAAGGAGAAGTAGTAGGCCCCTGGAACTCGGCAGCGAAACAGGCCTGTCCCGGGGTCAAAGTCACCTCCGATGTTGACGTAGACCTTGTCGAAGGTCACTGCCATCTCTGTTGTACCCTCCAGGCTGCTGGTCCGGGCCACGGAGAAGGCTGAGCGTAGCTCAGAACCTGAACCCAGTGCCCAGCAGGCCACAGGGCCAAGCAGGCTCAGCAGAAGCCCAGTGGTAAGCAGTGACATGGTCCCTGTAAGGGAAGGGAACGAAGGTCCTTCAGGAAGGCCTGTACAGCTTGGCTTCAAGTGAAAGGCAGAATGATAGGATGAAGGGCCCTCCCCTTTTCTGAGCCTGCTCCCTTCTGTGCCAGCCTTGGGGCTAGTGGCTGAGGGATGGAGTGTTGGCAGAGTCAGGAGGGGCTGCTGAGAGGGAAAGCTAGGCCTGTAATGTGGTGGGGGGCGCTCTAGAAGCACAGTCCTTCCCTGGGCTCTGGCAGTTCCTCTATATAATGAGCACTTTAGACTAGATTATCTCTCAACGTCCCTTCCCACTCAAAATCTGTGAACAGGCCTGGTGGGTGATAAGGGATTCAGCTGGTCTTCCATGGCCCACCTACACCCAAATCCTGGTTCACATGTACCTGGTACCTTGTTGGCAGCCCAGGCCTCAGGTCTCAATGAAAAACTCTGATAAACTGATTCACTCTAAAGTCTGAACTTAATGATACCCTGGGAGATTGGCATTTAAATACAAAAGTCTGGAAAAGACCATGCCCACCCTCGAGGAATGAATCTCTGGAGGTATTGTTTAATGGAGGAGCTTTTCTGAGTATCCTCAGATTGTACCATATGACTACCTACTTATAAAGTCAGCCCTGATTACAAGACACAAAATCCGAGAGGGTTCCAGAGAGCAAACACAGTATAGGGTATAATACCCAAGAGCCTGGCTTAGGACTCCTGCTTTTCATAATATACATATTGTATAAGACATAGTGTCATAATGTCATGCCTAACACATAGTACAGAGGAAGGCACTCTGGGTAACATACCATGTAACCTGGATGGAAGCCTGGTGGGAACCGAAAGAATCATCCTTTGGGGATGGGGGGGTGGTGGGTAGGGCTTGAGTCTTTAGATACTCTGTGCAGTAAGTCACTAGGTAGAGGGTGGTCTAGGCCTTATTCTGGAGCCCAAAGCTATGGGCTGACTGTGTGCCTGCCTGTTCTCCCAACTGGCAGCTCCCAGGTAGATGGCTCCTAGGAGCTTTCTTTTTTTTTTTTTGGCTGGGCAATGGGGTTAAGTGACTTGCCCAGGGTCACACAGCTAGTAAGTGTTATGTGTCTGAGGCCAAATTTGAACTCAGGTCCTCCTGAATCCAGGGCTGGTGCTCCATCCACTGTACCACCTAGCTGCCCTCTGAGGAGCTTTCAAAGGCCCGACGGGAGTTGAGGCAGGCCTGGGAGTAGATTACAGTAGGGAACCTATGAGCAGAAGGGGCCACAGACCACCAGGAAAAAGCCCCAAGCCCAGACCAGAGAGTAAGATGGGAAGAGAGGGAAGCCAGTTCACCGGCCTTACCCGTCCTAGTCTCTTGTCTAACTCCAGCTGCTCTGATCCCTGCCCCTGGACTGAGTAGCCTGACAGCTCTCTCCCCATCACTCCCTCCCCTTCAGCCTCATCCCCGTCATTTACGTGATGATTCCTCCCCTTCCAGAGCCTCCCAGCTACCTTCTTGGCTCACGTCAGGTCTTTCCCTGCTTACTCTGCTTCTCTCCAGTCCAGCCCCAGATGAAGAGGGATGCTGTCACTTAGAAATTCCGGGGAGGATGGAACTGGAGCAAATCACAGAAGATGTCTATTCAGACTCAGTTTCTCCTTTCGCACACTGGAGGGAAGACAAGTGTATCCAAGTGTCTGATGTGAAGTAGCTAGAGCGGTGGAACCCTTTGTAAAAAACAAGCAAGCACAATACTCCAAACTCAACAGTTTCACCCTAAGGAACAGGGAAACTGCTCTGCTCTGCTCTGCTCGGCCCGGCCCCTTCAGCTTCTATTTTTAGAGGTTTCTGAGTGGGCGGAACTTCACAGATCAGCCAGTCCAACTCATCATTTTATAAATGTGGAAGTGGGAAGGAAGGGAAATGACCTGCCCAAGGTAACATGACTAGCCAGTGGCAAAGCCAGAGCCAGAACTCAGGTCTTCTGACTGGACAGCCAGGGCCCTTTCCACTGCACTCCATTCTCTTCTGTCCAATACCGGGGTACCAGCAGTAGCCTTTTCTGACCTCTCACCTCCTCTATCCCCCCACCCTGGGTCCTCTTCCTGATTCTTCCCATATTCATGGTGCAGCCAGTTTGAGACCCTTCTCATCCACCATCCTCCATCCAGTGTGGCAGCTTCTGTAGGAGGGGAGGGGAGAGGATGGTGGATGTGGTGGGGGTAGAATCAATCTCTGCATGCCCTTCCACCTTCCATCAGCCAGCATGTCCAGTGCCATCTGGAGCTACCAAAGTCTGAGCCCAACCCCTCCAAGGCCCAGTGGGTGCTACCTAGGACAGATGTGAGGCAGCACTGGACCGTGAGTTAAAAGACTGTTCCCTTCACTTACCAGGTGGGGCCTGAAATAGAAGACAATAAAAGAGAGGAAACTGGGACAGAGAAACAGGAGCTAGCAGCTCAAACAGACAACACTAAGGAATGGAAAATGCAGCAAGCTGAGCCCAGGCAGACAGCCCCCACCCCCTCCAGCTCACTTGAGCCTAAGCAAAGCGTGGCCCTAGACCTCTACCCCAGCCCCATCTCCAGTAGTGATGGCTCCAGCGGTTCCCCGTTACCTGTGCATGCCACACCGGGGGCCGCAAGCCCTCTTGTCCCTGGAGAATAAAAGCCCTTGATTGACTGTCCCCTGCGCCCCCCACCTCACTAATAGCCCCCCTTTCCAGGGAAGGAGCCCTCCGGAGGAGAGGACCTGGGGACCCTCTGCTACCCAGAGCATTCCCCTCCTCTCCTATCTCACCACCTTCCACCAGCTAAGCTTTCAGCTTTCGTTCTTTCTGCGTTCCCGGAAAGGGCTTCCCGAATCCCCCCTTCAAAGAAGAGGCCCCCTCCCCTATGGCCCCGTAGGGTGCTCACCACCACAGGCAGCCTCACCTGGCTGTGCCTGAGCCCTCTGTGATCCCGCGATTCTGCGATCCCCCGATCCCTCGATCCCACTCGGGCTCCAGGAGCAGCCGCCGACCAGGGCTGCGCACTGACAGTCCGGACAGCTCCGAGGAAGGCTCGAGCGAGCGCTTGCTGCGGTGGTTGGTGGCTGCAGGCGGGCCAGCAGGGAGTCGAAGGGGCGGGGGACCGAGGACAGAGGAGGGAGGGGGCAGAGGGAAGGGGGAGCGAGCGGTGGGGGCGATCGGGGCTGGGGTGCTGGGAAGGCGGGGGACAGATGGAGGGAGGGATGAGCGGGAGAGGAGGTGCTGGGGGGAGGGGAGGAGGAAAGACAACCAAGAGGGGAAACTGCAGGTGGGCGAGGAAGGGAAATGCAGAAGAGAGGCTGGAAAGGAAGAGGGAAAAGGGGTGTGTGCGGGGTGCAAACAGCAGATGCTGCATAAATGTTTATTGAATGAATAAACCAACACATGTGACCTTGGACAAATCACTCCACCGCGATGGGCCTGTCTTGAACTGGATGCAAGACCCCTGCGGGGCTGACATTCGATGTTCTATAAATGTCACTGTGTTACTTGCAAGCAAAAAAGTGGGCTGAAAGTCATTGTTGAAGACATGCACGAGGGAAGGGGAGGCAGGCTGGCCATTTGGTGAGGGTGAGGACGACAGATAACAGCTGAGCTGCCCAGTGGTCCAACGGTACCATGAAGTAAGCAAAGAGTCCACCGAGTTCAAACATTCTTCTTAAAGGTATGAGGCATGTGTGGGAACAAAGGGACAAGAATTGTAGAGGGGCTGGAATCTGCAAAGGCAGGTTTCTGGGTTAGAGGGGCTCCCCAAGATCCTTTGAAGTATCCAAGGATGAATGCATAGGCATTAGCAAAAGAAGGTGAGGAAGATCATACAGGGAGGCCAGCTACCAGGGTATGGGGGATTCAGGAGACAGGACTTAAGATTAGGGTTTGGGTTCTCCTTTCTTCCCTGACTTTGCTGGATCATCAAGATCTCCCTACAAAGAACAGTTATTATTACTCCTGTCCTACCCCAGAAACCTCTATTGAAGTCTTCCTGCAAAGAATGCTGGGTTCTCTAAGACAAGGCTGTGCCATCGGGGCATGAGCTCTCCCCAGGCTGGAAAGGCTCCAAGTAGAGCTCCAGTGGTGGTCTGAGGACTGGACTACTTCAGGTGAGACATCTTACCTGGCTGAGCACAGACCAGGTGATGTATTTTTCAGTCACACCAGCTTTCCACTAAATCATAGAAGGGTTGCAATCTGCATTGGTGGAGAGAGCCACTCACACCAACCAAACTCAGATTGGAAGTATCGAAATCATGAGGAAATTCAAGGCTGGAGTGATGAAATACCTTACCAAAGGTCAAAGTGAGATAAGGGGCTTGGCTAAAACTCAGTTCTGGACTGGAGTGGGGTCCACTGAAGGCTTGAGATCTAAGCAAGGAAGCTCATCGGAGAGAGGAGACAAAAATGAGGGTGGAAGGTCTGAGATAAGAGAATAAGGGATGAGAGGGCTTAAATGATTATTGACCAAAGCAGCACCATCCTCTCCATCACCCAGGTTCCTAACCTGGGGATCATCCTCAACTCCTGACTTGCTCTTGTGCCACAGATCCAACATTTTTCCTTTCCATCCCTTTTCTTCTCCCAGTTGTCACTTGGGTACAGTCCCTCATGACCTCATGCCCAGACTTTGCAACAGCTTTCCGATTGGTCTCTGCCTCAAGTCTCTCCTCCCTCCAATACAACTTCCATACGCCTGCCAAAGTGATTTTTCTAATGCCAAGGCTTGATCGTGTCACATACCACCATCAACAGTCCTGCTCCCTCACACAAGAAGCTCCAATAGCTCCCTATTACCTCCTGGCTCAAATATAAAATGCTTGGCATATAAAGTCCTTCACAATCTGCCCCCTTCCTATCTTTCCAGCCTTCTTAAACTTTTACTCCCCTCTGTAAGCTAGCTGCACTGGTTGTGCTGTTCCTTGAACATAACACTCCCTCTCCTTCCTGACTTTTCACTGCCTGTCTCACATGCCTGTAACACTCCCCCTCCTTACCTCCACCTCC